ATAAGTGCTATTACTTTAAAGAATCAACATCTCTCTGATATTCACCCAAGTGTGGACCAAAGGGGCCACATGCTGACCTGACAAGCTCAGGGGAGGCCTGCATGGCGGTCTTGCAAACTCAGAGACCTAAAGTCACCACAAAGGATGGTCTGAAATGAAGCTTTAACTGAAAGCAGTTATGGTGGGTAGTTACATCCTAGGCCGGGATCTACACTGACAAGGTCAACCTTTACCTTAACTGAACCTAGCTGTCTTTTTGCATCTATGATAACATACCCTTGAAATGTCCGGGTAACTTGCAACTTCCCTTTTTCTGGAGCCCTTAGGGCACAACCAAAAGTGCTGGGCGCCAGGGCAGATACCACAGATTCCTTCATTATCATGTTAATTGTTCCCGCAACCACCTAAGTATGTGTCCGTCCTTTTACTTTTTATCCAATCCCAGGGGTTCCCCTCCCCCCTCCTTTGCTTTATCCCACCTCCTTAATCTATCACCAATGAATTTCATGTAACCCACCTACGTCCCTCCTTTGATTGCAAGGTCTAAATACAAATGTTTTTATTGATTTTCAGAGAGAAAAAAGGAGAGAGAGAGACAGAAACATCAGTAATGATCCCACAACCCAGACGGGGAATCGAACCTCGACCTCCTGGTTCATAGGTCAACACTCAACCACTGAGCCACACCAGCTGGGCAGAAGCTACTATTATTGTCACCTGGTTCCTATTTTACCTCCAAGGAGACTGAAGCCCAGAGAGGTGAAGGGCCTGGCCCAAGGCCACACTCAGTCACCTGGGCCACGAAGACTCTACCACAGATAAGCACTGCAATGAAAATGGCTGATTCTGCCCTAACCGGTTTGGCTCCGTGGATAGAGCATCGGCCTGCAGCCTCAAGGGTCCCAGGCTCGATTCCAGCCAAGGGCATGTACCTGGGTTGCGGGCACATCCTCAGTAGGGGGTGTGCAGGAGGCAGCTGATCGATGTTTCTCTCTCATCGATGTTTCTAACTCTCTATCCCTCTCCCTTCCTCTGTAAAAAAATCAATAAAATATATTTTAAAAAAAAAGAAAATGGCTGATTCTTCTGAACACTTTAAACACCTCAAGCAATTGGCAAAACATACACAAGTAAAATTATTTCTGAATGTATTGGTCTGGTTATTAGGCAAACGGGGGCTTCTTTGCAATGAGGAGAGAGAACTTAAAGCCACCATGTAGAAGTATCTCTCCTGTCTCTGCTATTGTTTTTTAAATATATATATTTTATTGATTTCAGAGAGGAAGGGAGAGGGAGAGAGAGAGAGAGAGAGAGAGAGAGAGAGAGAAACATCAACGATGAGAGAGAATCATTGATTGGCTGCCTCCTGCACGCCCCACACTGGGGACTGAGCCCGCAACCTGGGCATGTGCCCTTGACTGGAATCGAACCTGGGACCCTTCAGTCCAGAGGCCGATGCTCTATCCACTGAGCCAAACTGGCAGGGCAAGGATGTCTACTTCTCATTCGGAGGCCTGCCCATGGTCAGAAGCATCTGTGACCCTGGGCATCCTGCTGTGTCTCCTGCTGCTTTTCATGCCTGTCTAATTGCAGGTTTGCCCAATTGTCCTTCTCCTCCTGATGCTCAGACAGGAGCCCTGCCCTGACCTCTCTGAAAGGCTTTTTGCTACCGCAGGACACAGACGCCACTATCATCCTGGGAGTCTTAATTCCTGTGGGTGGAGTTGTTTCTACTTGGAAATAAGTGCGCTTATTTCCCCAAAGTGCCACATGTGATCCAGCTGAGAGTCCCGGGTGTGAGGACGCGCTCACGGTGAGGCCACGCAAGGTTTGGGGTTTGCTGCGCCAATAGGCAGAAGGATGAGGGGCCTATATGTGACAGGTCCCGGCAATCCTTCTTGGCATCCGCCCTCCAGGCCTCTCCGTCCAAGATGGAGGAGGGATGACAGGATCCACCAAGCTGCCGGCTCCATCCTTCACGCACCCACCTGCTGCAGCACTTTGAGTGCTTCTGTTCACCTTTTTGCTGAGTCACGGGAGGGATCCCCGCTCACCCTGGGGTTTATTGGCCAAAATGATTGTGACTTGGTGCAGGAGGCCCCCGGGGGTCGTGGGCTGCCTTTCTCTGCACAGTCCCAGAGCCCCAGTGTTTACTCTCCCAGACTGGGAGGCTGCAGGCCCCTCCGCCTGGGTTTCAGGCTTCTGTATCCCCAGCCACCTAGCACAGCGCCGGCTGACACATTAGTGGGTGCAAAATAAATGCTGTGGACGTGCTTGAATGGATGCATGAGCTAACTCCCCCATCTTCTCAAAGTTGAGCCTTAGGAAACCCCATTTCCTCCCGTAACCCAAAAGATATCAGACCCAGTATTTTTTTTTCTTTTCTTTTCTGCAAAGTGAGATGGGTTAATGTTGTCTCCTCCCACACCTCCCAGCTGACAGCACTGGAACCTGAGATAGGGGCCTGGGCCCTGCAGAAACCACTCCCTGCTCCCCACCCCACCCCACAGGGCCCCTTCTGCACCACTGGCCAGGCACCAATTGAATGAACCAGTCCTGGGGCCGAGCTGAGGCTCCGGGGCCTGATTGGCTGCACCAGGTCTATTCAAAAGGAAACAAGGAGTGGTCAGAGAACCTGGACCTGGGGAGTCCTTTCCCTCCCCCAGGCTCTTGGAGAGACAGCTGAGTTACTGAGCTGAGTCAGCTGGAGTCTGGTTGGCCTCCCCCTCAGGGAGCAGAGGCACATGGGAGGGACAGAGGTCTCCTCAGACCTCAGCTTTCCTGCTGGGATTGGGTGTGAGCAGCTCAAGGTCCCCAACTGGGATAGTCCACAGAAGAGGGGAAGCTCAGGGGTTTGGGGCCCCAGAGGCCTTGCTCCTTCCCTTCCCCATCAGCCAGGCCTTTGGGCCGATACCCCCACCTGTTGGGAGCATCAGAACCTCAGAGCCCAGCATATGGAGGACGCCCCTCAAGAGACCGCGTGCTGATTGGGGTTTTCTCCTCACTGTGGCAATGGCCACTATTTACCAAACTTTACTATGTGCCTGGAGCTGGGCTAAGGGCTTCCTGCACAATATCTCATTCCACAGCAGCACCTCTCCGAGGACGGATGTTATGGATGAAGAATCTGCGACTTTAAAGACGTCAGGGAACTTACTCAAGGTCACACAGCCAGCACGAGGCCAGACCCAATTGGTTTGATTCCAAAGCCATTAGCTTAACCACAGCTCTCCTTCACACACACACACACACACACACACACACACACACACACTCACACTCACAGTCACACACACACACACTCACTCACAGTGCACAGTGGGGAGCACACCCATAGGCCCAGGCCCCGGGGACAGACCCTGCCATCAGCTGTCAGCCAGAGGCCACAAACATCTGGCTCAGCAGATAGGAGGGACGGAGCTGTTCCCATCCCTCAAGTCAGGCCTGGCCCTTTCCTGGGGGAACCATCTGTACCCTCCGTCAGGAGGGATGGAGAGAGAAGGGGGGGGGGGGCTGTAAAGGGAGGCCCAGACAACAGGGAGACCCACCTTCCCTGAGAGGAGTCAGAGAGAAATCTCAGGGGATGCAGGAGAGAGGCAAGCCCGGGGCAAGACAAAGGGAGGAGGGAAGCAGATCATCCCCGTCCCTGGGGCACACACACCAGCCGCTGTCTGGCTACAGGGACACACCAGGCTCCAATGCCCTTGCCCCCTCCCCTCCTCCTTCTCCCCCTTAAATCACTGCCCAGGCCCAGCCCGGGGAGCTGGTGCTCCAGTCCATTGTAGGTAACTCTCCAGCAACACAGGTTTGAGCTACATGGACCCACTTACACACGGATTTTTTCCAGTAAATATATATTGGGCCGTCCAGCCATCTGTATCCTTGGGTTTTGCATCTGCTGATTCAACTCACTGGGGAAAACTGTATTTTGGATCCCCAACTGGGAATCTGTGGATGCGGAGGGGATCTGTGGACGTGCTTGAATGGATCATGAGCTAACTCCCCCATCTTCTGCAAAGTGAGATGGGTTAATGTGGTTTCCTCCCACACCTCCCAGCACAGAATGCATTGTTCTGTGTTATTTTATATAAGGGACTTGAGCATCCACGGATTTTGGTATCTGAGAGGGGCCTGGAACGAATCCCTGTTGATACTGAGGGACAACCATAGTTCCGTTTGAGGAGCCAAAAGTCACACAAAGATTTCTGACTGTGTGGGGCTCAGAGCCCCTAAGCCCCGCATTTCCCACGGGTCCCCTGTCTTTCTGTGAAGGTGTGATGTGGAGTCACGGCTGCAGTGGTACATATTTCATCAGCACTTAGTGGCTTTAAATAAAGTGCACAAGAGAGGGTGGCTGGGGGAGATGCCTCCTTAAGCTGGGGTTCCCCTCATACAGGGCCTGTTGCCAGGAGGTCCAGAGGGCACCCTTCTAGACACAACCTACACCCCCACCATGGCTCCTGGCATCGTGGCCCTCCCAGCCCAGAGGAACTGCCTGGGGCTGACCCGCACTCAGCCCCCAGCCAGAGCGATCGCTCCAGGGTTCAAAGGGTCAGGCATGGAAGGGAGGGAAGGGACACAGCCAGCTTCCAGGGGTGGCTGACAGCTTGGCCAATCCAAGGTCAGCCCCTGCTGTGCCTAGTTCTAGCTCCTACTGGGTGCAGGCTCACCCTGAAAGCAGAGGGTGCTGGGGTCAGAGATGGGGCCTCGGGAAGGGAGGAATATGTGGTGGAGGAGGACCTGGAGAAGAGAGGAGAGGAGGGGAAGGGAGGGGACAGAAAGAGAGGAGAGGAGAGGGGAGGGGAGGGGAGGGGAAGGGAGGGGAGGGGAGGGAAGAGGAAGGGAGGGAAGAGGAGAGGAGGGGACAGAAGAGGAGAGGAGAGGAGAGGGGAGGGGAGGGGAGGGGAGGGGACAGAAGGAGAGGAGAGGAGAGGAGAGGGGAGGGGAGGAGAGGGAAGAGGAAGGGAGGGAAGAGGAGAGGAGGGAACAGAAGAGGAGAGGTGAGGAGAGGAGGGGAGAGGAGGGAACAGAAGAGGAGAGGTGAGGAGAGGAGAGGAGAGGAGAGGAGGGGAGAGGAGGGAACAGAAGAGGAGAGGTGAGGAGAGGAGGGGAGAGGAGGGAACAGAAGAGGAGAGGTGAGGAGAGGAGAGGAGAGGAGAGGAGGGGAGAGGAGGGAACAGAAGAGGAGAGGTGAGGAGAGGAGGGGAGAGGAGGGAACAGAAGAGGAGAGGTGAGGAGAGGAGAGGAGAGGAAAGGAGGGGAGAGGAGGGAACAGAAGAGGAGAGGTGAGGAGAGGAGGGGAGAGGAGGGAACAGAAGAGGAGAGGTGAGGAGAGGAGGGGAGAGGAGGGAACAGAAGAGGAGAGGTGAGGAGAGAAGAGGAGAGGAGAGGAGGGGAGAGGAGGGAACAGAAGAGGAGGGGACAGGAGAGGAGAGGGGAGGGGAGGGGAGGGGAGAGGAGGGGAGAGGAGGGAACAGAAGAGGAGAGGTGAGGAGAGGAGAGGAGAGGGGAGGAGAGGAGAGGAGAGCTGGGTGGCTGGACTAGAGAAGGGACTGGGCTCAATTTCAAACATTTAACCAGGTGAAGGCAGAGCAGGGACACTAGGACCAGTAGGTCAGGGCCTGGGATCAAGTTCACAGCCAGGAGGCCAGGACGAGGGGTTGGCAGAAACTAGGTCAGAAGGAGGAATTTGGACTTTACCTAGAGGCGGCCAGGAGCAGCTGGGGGTGGGGTGGGGAGTGCAGGATCAGTGGGCTCCTGGCCCAGGAGCATGGTTCCCTCCGTGCCCTACCGGCTGTGGGACATGGGACTCTCACCACGGGTCCTCCCCCCCCCCCCCACAGAGGCCCCGGTGTGGGTCCTCGTCCTGCAGCCCCACCCACCAGGGTTCACCTCTCCACCCCCGAAGGTTCTCTCCCTCCCCACGGGTCCTTTCAGGGGGCAGGCCTGAGCAGCAGCGGGCACTGAGTGGTGGGGAACACGGGGCCGTCCCAGCCTGTCCATCCCAGGCCCCCGGCCTCTGGCGGGCAGCGGGCTGTGGCTCTCCAGTCGGCTGCAGCCCGCCTGAGCCCCAGCCCAGAGTCCCACGTGGGCCTGGCTGCCTCAGACCAATTTGACCTCCAACTGTCACTGACCCGGGAAGAGCCATTTCCTGGAAAGTTTTCCCTCCCTGCCCCCACCCTAAGCTTTGCACCCTGGCTGCTCGCAGGGGAATCCTGTCCCAGCTGCCCTGCTTATGCGTTGCCTGACCTCTGGGCGGTCACATCATGTATGGTGTCCCCCTTTCTTCCAGTTTTGTGAGGATTAACCAAGAGCAGCCTGTAAGCAAAGACAGTTTACCTTATTGCGGGTGGTCTCTGTGCCTGTTGATTAAGCCTTTTGGTATGGATGAGGAAGCAGAGGGTCAGAGGTGGCCAGTTAATGGGGAAGAGATGAGGCCGAGATTTCAGCCTCCTGCCCTGGGCAGGGCTCCTTCCAAGACTAAACTCTTCCTCCCTTGGAAACCTTGCTCTCTCTGGAGACTTGTGAGCTGCCCTCTCCACCTGTGTGGCGTATTTTATCCCCTAGCTAGACAGTGGGATTAGTGATGGATGAGATAGAACCAAAAAGGGTGGACAGACGGAGGCAGGGCTGGGCTGAAAACTGAAAGGGACCTCAGGGGTTAGCACTGCAGGCTACAGGGAGAATGCAGTCGAATGCTCTACACCAGAGGATTCCACCTGTGTTTCAAAACACCTCCTCCTTGAAGCCTTCCCTGACTGCTTCATTCTCTTGTGGGAGAACTCCTGGGGCCTGAGAAGCTGCAGCTTAGCCTGGGCTAGCTGCGTGTTCCCTGACCATCTCTTCATCATCTAGTCATTACCAGAGAGTTTTCCCATGTATTAGCTCATTTAGTCCTTCTAACAGCTTTGAGTTTACGACCACGGATCTAAGGTTCAGGGAAGTTTGTCTGTCTTGCTCACAGAGCATTGGCTGAAACTCAAGGTCAGGCTACCTGGTTCCAAATCACACACAGTCTGTCCACTAGGGCGCTTCTCCAGAGGTTGGGTGGGGCTGCCTCTGGGCACTTAAATTCAAACTCCAAGGTTCCTGGCAGCGAAGGTAAAAAGGAAAACCTGATGAGGTAGGGAGTCCTCCCTCGTCTGAAACAAAGAACCTATCCGTTCACCCGAAGCTCCAGACTTCATCCTAGTGCTTAATTCCAGGAGGAATTCATTTCATGGATTCTACGTAACATCTTTACCTAATGGTTTGCAGAAAGGTTACGGAAACTTGTCCAAAACAGCCCTTCCTTACGTTGATCCCATTAGAAGCTAAAGGCTAACGTATGTGAAAACCTGAGGTGAATTTCCCAGGGCAATGGCAGTAATAAATCCGGGGGATCGTTTCCTGGCTTTACCTTGATCTATGGAGGAGCAGAGAGACCAGAAGAGCCAGCATGTGAGGGGACAAGAGTGGAAAGAGCATCGGTGCCACGCAGAGTAAGGATTGAATGTTGGCCCTACTGCCCACTGTGCGACCTTAGGGGAGTTACTTAACCTCTCTGAGCCTCATTTTCCCAACCTGCAAAATGGGAATGAGAATGCATCCCTCAAGTCATTCTTATGGGGGATCATTCAGCCATTCATTTAGTAAAAATTAAAAGCCTGCCTTGTGCCAGGTACTGTGGAAGGCGCTGGAGACACAGTGATGGACAAGGCTAGCAAAGAGCTTGCCCTTGTGGAGTTTACATTTAGTGGAGAAAGATCATAATAAATAAACAAACAAACAAACAGGAAACTACCTTTTGGGAGGAAGAAGAGGATTGGTGCTATGATTCTGGCTGAGATGACGGGGCGTCCCCTCATTTCCATTCTCCTCTTCTTCCTCTGTACTAGAACTCTGGACGCATGGCTTCCCAGAATAAAGACTACATTTCCCAGGCTCCCTTGAAGCTAAGTGTAGCCATGTGACTAAGTTCTGACTAATAGGATAGACACGGAGGCAACCTTTGAGAAATATTTTTTTTAAAAAAAATTCTTTATTGTTTAAAGTATTGCATATAGTTTTACATATGTCTCCTTTTTCTCCCGTCGACCTCTCCCGGGCCACCCCCACCCCGGCACAGGCCCCACCCCCTAATGTCTGTGTCCATTGCTTATGCTCACATGCATGCATGCAAGTCCTCCGGTTGGTCTCTTACCCCCGCGCCCTCCCCTGCCTTTGAGAAATATTCTTAGAGAGAGAGGGCACATCTTTTTTAACCCTTTCTCCTTCCTGCTGACTGGAACGCAGAGGTGACGGCTGAAGCTCAAGCAGCCATACTGGACCATGAAGAGGCAGCCACCTGCTAAGCACACCCCACGATGGAGGGTCCTGGGTAGGGCCCCTGACACTGCAGCGGACCATTGCCAGCCTGGGGCCTCCTCTCTCCAGGCTTCTCCACCAAAGAGAAATAAACTTCGGTCCTAAGGTGTGGGGTTTTCTCACACACATTCCTCCCTGATTTCCCAGTGACAGAGTGGCTGGGGTTATTTCTAAATGGACGGTCAAAGGAGGCGTTTTTTTTTTTTCTGGGATAACACTTTCCCTGAGGCTGGACAGGGAGAATGAGCCAGCTGGGGGAACTGGGAGGAGCACCTAGGAAGGGTGGGGAGAGACAAGCAGGAATGGCACTGGTGGAACAGAAGGCGGGAGGTAAGCAGAGGGCAGGAGTGACCCAGAACAGGGGGCGGGTGTCACTCCACATGTGGGGGAGTCAAGGAGGATTTGTACAGGGCAGTGATGTCTTCTGACTTCTGTTTCTAAAAGATCACTCTGAGCCCAGCCCGTGTGGCTCGGCGGTTGGGCGTCGACCTATGAACCTGGAGGTCGCGGTTCGAGTCCCGGTCAGGCATATGCCTGGGTTGTGGGCTTGATCCCCAGTGTGGGGCATGCAGGAGGCAGCCGACCAATAATTCTCTCTCTCCCTCTCCCTTCCTCTAGGGCAGTGGTTCTCAATCTTGGCTGCACATTAGAATCACCTGGGAATCTTTTTAAAATCCTGATTTCTGGGCCTTACCCTCCGGAAATTCTGTTTCTTTATTAGTAAGGTTGTGGCCCCACCCCATAACAAAGGAACAGAATTTCCGGAGGATGAGGCCCAGAAATCAGGATTTTAAAAAGATTCCCAGGTGATTCTAATGTGCAGCCAATGTTGAGAACCACTGCTCTAGGGGGTCCCAGTGAAGCCAGCTGTCACAGGCCCACACTGCTCCACCTGACACCTCATGGCCAAGCCCATTGCAAGGGACAGCTCACCTAATCGCCATGAAACCCCCCTCTCCCACCTGGAGTCTCAGGCTCTTCTTCAGGCCAAGAGAGAGAAAGCAGCCGCACCTTCTAAGGCCCATGCCAAGTCTCCACTTGCCACCGAGGGCTGCCTGCACCCCAGGATGATCCAAGATGGGAAAGCCTCCTCCCTTCAGGAGAACTCACTCCCTATTGGCTCCCTGCCCACAGTGCCTCCCTGTGGGGTCTAGAATATCATCATATGTGGCTGCAACCAAATCACTGTTCGGGGTGGGTTTCTGCCAGCCCAGCCTGGGGGCCCACCCTGGACTTACCTCATCCCATTTGGCCTTGGTTCCCCAACGTCTGTGAGCACAGACTTGGACCAACATACCCATGGACCTTGAGGAGGGTCCCGTAGGCTCCTCGCTTAGTGCTTCAGGCAATGGCAGGATAGGGTGGCAAGAGGGACTCTCAGGGGAGGGGATGACAGAGCGTGAGGCCCTGGGGGGCCAATGAGGATACACTCTCAGGGTCGGTCCCCGCTGAATTCCCTGAATGTCAGGCTTTCTGACCGTCTCCATCCTCCCCAGGGACATGGCTAAGGGGAGGCAAGCCTCTCTCATCTCATTTCTCCAGCGCCCAGGCCTATGCCAGGCACCTGGGGCCTTCAGATGAACTGAACTGACCCAACTCCAAACTGGAATAAAATGAGTGAGAGGGGCCATGGCTTCTTCCTGGAGAAGCACAAACACGCAACATGTGCTGTTGGGCAGATTGGGGAAAACATCCTCAGCCAGTCAGGGCAACAAGAATGACCCAGAGCACACGGCGTGAGTAGAAAGGACCAGATGTCAGCCTGCTCTGCTCTGCTTGCGCGTCCGGTGGGCTGCGGGCGTGGTGCCTGCAGAACAGCTGGGCAGATTCTGCTCTAATCCAGATGTTCCATTTGTCGCCCCCACCCCCACCCCCAAGGGCCAGCTGCCCCTCCTTTCTGGGACCTGGAAGAGGTGCTCATTGCTGCCTCCTGCACTCAGCTCTCCCTCCGCTCCTGGGCCAGGCAGAGGGGCAGTGCGCCTGGGCCTTCTGGGCTCTGGTGGGAAGGCAGGGCTGCCACTTGGCATTCGCTGCCAAAGGCCACAGGAAGCGGCCCAGCCCCCTCTGAGCCACCAGGCCGGAGAGTGAGCACCAACCGGGAGTAGGGGGAGCATCCCTCGGCCCCTTTGGGCAGGGCCTCTCTGTTCCTGGCCGGTGTGACTGCAGGGAGCACAGTGCTTCGCAGGAGGCAGAACGAAGCCCCGAGTTGCGAGCTCCAGCTCAGGCTCCACCAGCCCAGGGGCCTGGGGCCAGTCGCCTACCCCTCCGCGCTGTGCGTCCTCACCTGTGAGAGGGAAATAGTAATAAACAGCGCCTTTCTCGGAGACGCTTGAGAACTCCGGGCTAGTACCCGTCACTTTTTTCACTGGGAAGCCACCTTGCCTCTCTGTGGTGTTAGTGTCCTCTGTGAAATGGGGGTGCTGGAAGGATTACGTGTGACCCCCAGGTGAAGCCCCCAGCACAGTGCCTGGAACGGAAGCCCCATGAACAGGAGGGTTCCAGCTCCACCAGTCCCTGCCTGTTCCTCTTGGCCACGGCTGGGCAGCGCAGGCTGGTGGTGGAGACCCAGGAAGTGATTGTAGGACTGCTGGATATGCCCACCTCATCATCCCTGTTTCTACATCTGGGATCTAAAACAGAGAATCCTGCCCTCTGGTTTGGCTCATTGGATAGAGTGTCGGCCCACAGACTGAAGGGTCCCAGGTTCGATTCCAGTCAAGGGCACATGCCTCAGTTGCAGGCTCCATCCCAGGCCCTGGTCGGGGCACATGCGGGAGGCAACCAATCGAAGTGTCTCTCTCACATCCATGTCTGTCTGTCTCTCTCTCTGTCTCTCCCCCTCCCTTCCACTCGCTCTAAAAATCCATGGGAAAACATCCTCTGGTGAAGATTAACAAAAATAAAAATAAAACGAAGAATCCCCCAAGCTGGCCGTCATCGAACCGGCCCTTTCACTTTGTGGATGGGGAGACTAAAGAACAGAGAGGGGCAGGCACTGGCCCGGGTTCCACAGCCCGTCAGTGGCAGAGCTGGGCTGGGATGGCTTCCTGTCTCCACTGCCTGGAGCAGTGTCCACAGAACCCCTGGCTGTCTGCTTTCAAACCTCTCTTCTTTCTTGTCGATCTAAACTCACCTTTCTGTCTCTACCTCTTTAGCAACCAGAGCCCAGGATTAGGAGGCCAACCCCAGTACCCCCAGGAGCAGAGACTGCCCCACTGGGGGAGTGTGGGGAGGGGCACCGCGTGGGCCGAGAATGCGGGCTGCTCTGGGCCGGGCTGCCGACAGAGGAGCCAGTGTGCCCAGACATTGGGGCTTTGTGAGCTCTGAGCTCCTGTGTGGGGAAGGTTGTTTTGTTGACCTGACATTGTTTCAGGTTGGCTGCGTGGCAGCATCTTAGCACCCAGGGGCCAGCTCTTGGAGCCAAGCAGGGTCTTGGGGAGACGACAGCCAGGGCCCCCTCACTTGGAGGGGGCTGCCTGGGCCCTGTGAGCACTGAGCAGGTCCCTACAGCAAGGCTGCCGAGGAAGAGGATGTCCCGAGGGAGGACGCTGAGGGAGGAGAGAGGAGAAGGCGCCTGTGCATCTTGGGCCAGAGCAGAGGGGCCTGGCCAGGCCGAGGATGGAGCGAGTCCGGACAGGGGCGTCCACAGGCTGGGCCAGCCCTGCCAGGAGGCTGGGAGCTCTGAGAACCCAGCCGTCAAACCGGAGTCCACAGAGGAAGACCAGGAGAACCCCGGGGGCCAGGAGGGAGGTGTTGGGGGCTGGCGGGCCGGGTGGGGTGGGCCAGACTCACAGCTGTCCAGATGTGTGTGAGAGATAACTCTGTTTACAGGGCACCCAGTGGAAGTGGGGCGGAGGGGTGAGAAGGGGCTCCTGTGGCCCATGGGCGGGCAGATTAGGAGGCGGGGGCATGAGTCAGGGGTTTGCAAGCTGCCCCTGGGGCGAAGGAGCGAGAACCTGGCGCTTGTTAGAGCGGGTGTGAGCTCAGCTGGGCGCAGAGGGCACCGGTGGCTGCAGGAGTTCCTGGAGGGACCCCAAGACTCGTGAGCAGGTGAGCAGGGCCAGGGGGGGTTAGGGTTGGTCTTGGGGTACCTATGGTGAGGGTTTCTGCAGGTGCCCATCCTAAATCTTTGCCTAAGTGGGCACAGGTGCCCTAACCTTCAAGTGGGGTGTTGGTGGGTGGGGTGAGAACGTTGCAATGTGTGTTGTTACCCCTAAGGGCACAGGCCCATTGGCACCTGCCACTGGGGTGAGCAGGGCAGCCAATGTTAGGAAAACTGGCCGGTGTTGGGAAAAAGAGGCTGGCACGTGGCAACAGGTGTGTGTGGCTGGTGTGTATGTGTGTGTGGGTCCCGGGCGGCTTCCTACTTACCAGCCCCTCAGATCCCACAGACTCAGGTCTCGCTCCAACCCCTTCCTTCCCCCGTGTATGGGGGTCCCTAGGCCACCTCGTCATCCTCCTAGGAGAAAAGTTGTCAGCTCTTCCCATTTCAGGGAGCCTACGAGGGGGGCCTGGCACCGTCCCCGCTCTAGGGAGTGTTTGGAGGGAAAGGAGGAGTCCCCTACCACCTGAGCACCTCAAAGCACTTGGGCTATTTCCACGGGAATTGGGGAGTTAGAGGGGGATGAGGGTCATGAATCCAATCTTGATACCCAGTAGCAATGATAATGCGCCAGGCACTTTTTAAAATGCTTTATACACATGAACCTAGGGCTATAACAAGTCTATGAAGTAGATATTATTTTTTTTCCAAAGTTTTTAAAAAATATACCTAGCATTCAACCACTGAGCCACACTGGCCGGGCTGAGGTAGATCCATTACCCCATTCTACAGATGAGAAAACTGAAGCACAGAGAGGTTGAGTCACATGCCCGAGGTCACACAAGTCACACAGTTAGCAAATGGCGGGGCTGGGATTTGAACTCGGTTTAATGGTTCGAGATGTAGCTAGAGTCAGGTCGGCAGGGTTTAATCCTGTCTGTGATGCCTACCTACCAGGGGACCGAAGCAGGTAAAGCTCTCTGACCTCAGCTTTCTCATCTGTAAAACGGCCAGTGACAGTACCCACTTCACAGAGCGGTTTGGGATTGTAAGCA